AAGTGCACGGTTTTTGTATCACCTAACATGTAAGTGACTTTTACTTGACCTCATCAGACAAGCCATCTGCCTATTAGAAGCCAAAACGCAAAGCGCTTTTGGTATCTAACGAACGGTGAGGTTGCTCGACCGCACAGAATTAATTGTCTTTGCTGAACACTCTCAGATTTTCGTTTTGCATTCACCAGCAAAACTGCACTCTTCCTTCATCAATCCCCGAATTGGGACAATAGATTCGGTATTCATCAACTTTGATGTTTTCCCAATCGTCGATCGTCTTCAAGGCCCTACATGCATGCTTGGCAACGAGCAGTCTACTCACAAGATATTCTATTCACGGCAACATTTCCTCAAAATTCTCCTATGAAGCAAGATTTATACATATTTTTGACAAGCAATTTTCAATGGAAACTTCAGTTTGGCTCAAATTTGAAGATCGACTTTTTTCTGTTGATGAATTAACAATATAAAACGAGATAAAAGCGTTTCACTTCGCAACAAGATCGACATTACCTCAGAAATATGTTTGCCTAATCATAATTAATTACATCAAGTTGATGTAAATTGTTAAAGATGAACAGAGAAATAAAGTTTGCAACTGTTTTCGTAACTATCAAAACAACTGCCCGTTCAATTCATAAATCTGCAGGAATATGGTCTTAGTTCCCATTAATTAAAAACTCTGGGTTCAGAAATTGTTTCAGAAGAGTGAAATGAATGCGTGATGATTGTGGAAAGTTTACTTACTTGTTGATTATGAGATGTGGTGAGGACATAATACAGGAGAACAGCTGTTGCTTAATGCGATCGTGAGAAATTTATTGGAAGTGATACTTAACACAAGAATTATTGGATCATTTTTTGAGAATAACAACTCATTTAGTGCAGTTGATGACTATCGAATCATTGCAATTCAATGATAACGTGGAAAAGAAATTAGGAAAGCTTGGGAGTTTACGTATAGTGATAGGGATTAGATAGCCAGTAAACGTATTGCAACGGAAGTTAGGTTGAGGACGTAAAATTTTTGACATTTGGGTGATGACTGGTGTGCGCTGAAAATCTTTGGATCAACGATGTAGCAAAGAATATGATCTGAAGTTGCTTAACTTTGAAGATTTGTAAAGAAAAGTTCGTACCTCAGTTTAAGAATAGTTGAAGTATGAGATAGGTATTTGACTTGAAGCTTATAGAAATTTTGAAGAATATGCGTATTGAATTACACGGCTGCTTAGTTTATTTGTGAACTTGGTGCTTCGAACAGATTTTTTTCTTCTCAAATTGTACGTTCAAGTTGGAGTGATCTGAGAGCAAGCCAACTACTGCATAGATTCATCGATGCTAATAAAGTAAAGTTACCAATGAAATGTTTGGGGGGGGGGGATGATCCATGAGATGGCAGTTCAAAGAATTTCTTGTAGATGGAGTGAAAATTCGAAAATCATTGAGACCGACGAAACTTTCAGAGTTCCGAAGAATGGAAGTCGTCAACGAAACGAGAGACTCTTCTTGGACTGGAACAAGAACTGGACAAACTGCTGAAAACGGCCACAGCTGATTCAGCTGATGTTGGTTTTTCACTTAGAATGCCATTTCGAATATAAGTATCTATGAATCACGGTACAACTTCTATGTCGCCAACCCTTTCGAAAACATTCCACTCGCCCAGAGAAGTGAACTCTGAAAAGGATGTTTCATTTCTATATATGCATACATCTGAGGATGATTGGTGATAAAATAGAATTTGCTGATGATAGCAAAATTGATAAAACATGTCGGTGATAAAAAAATTATGTTGAAAAAGGTGCTGGCGATGGCATCATCTCATAAGTTGTTTTATATGCACATATTTTGACTGTGGAATGTGAATATGCCTGAATAATGACGCATCTAACTTCGTTCATTTAAATTCGAATGTTTTTTAGAATGTGAAGAAGGAACTGAATGGCTTCCGTAATCTCTTCTCACGTTTTCTTCGTGTAAGAACGACTGTTGATTGGATGAAGATTAATCCACTGCCCGACAATGCCATTATCCCATACAAAAAGGTTCACTTTCGTCTTATTGATAAAAATGATGATATATTATTAATAATAAAAACACAAGTGCCATACAAATAACGATTGCAACGAGAAAGAATGACCAACAACTATCAACGTTACATTGAGCACACAGATCANACAAGTGCCATACAAATAACGATTGCAACGAGAAAGAATGACCAACAACTATCAACGTTACATTGAGCACACAGATCACTTGTCCGGAATGATTACCTCAATTTTTTTTCAGGTGAAAATAGGTGATATGGAAAAGGCAAAAATCGCGGAACGTCTCAACAAATTGGTGGTCGTGAAGCTGAATGGTGGATTAGGTACGTCGATGGGCTGCAAGGGACCAAAATCAGTGATTTCAGTCCGTAACGACTTGACTTTCCTCGATCTCACCATGCAACAAATTCAGGTTGGACATTCATCGTTGTTTCATGAATTTCGTTTTCAAATTGACCTTTGTTTCACTTTCTGTTTCATATCTAGCATGTGCCTATAAATTGCTTCGCAATTTTTTATGATATTTGCTTTTTTCGCGGTTGTAACGCTTCTCTATGAAGACGCCGGTTAAAATCTATTCATAAGTAATATTAAGACTACTGATTTTTGATACAACAATATAAATGACATCTTAAGTCAATACGTCATTTTCAACAACTTTTTGATTACTTCCTTTTGATTCAATGTTAATTGTCGTCATGATATTCACTGATGTTCTCGAACTTCTATAAATTGTGAATTAAATGGCATAGAAACATGAATGAAATAA